TATTTCCATACTTAATATGGTGATAATTTATTTTTAAACCGTGTTTCAAACCGAGACAATGTCTTTTGGAGGGCATGTGTTTGATTATAAACCGTCGTTGTACACAAACCGACAGCGACGCGACGGCTGGATAAGAGAGCACAAGAATGAAGTGAATTATTTTCGCTTAGTGTGCACAATACACATTCCTTTATAATATATATTATATTATTAGAATTATATATTTAACGTATATAGTATAATATTTTTACTGTCAATTTAAAAAGACAGAACGTTTAAAAAGCAATTATTATTAGCGGTTTTCTTAAAAAAAAAAAAAAAACGTTTATCAGTGATAGATTTTGTTCACTCATACATATATGTAGGTACATAATACAATTTAGTAGCTGGACCTTGGAGTGTCGGTTTAGACGTATTGAATAATATTGTGAAAAAAACACACACACTTTGTTGCATTCTCAATTTGATTCTATACTTGGAAGAATTTCGTGGTACGGTTTTCGAAACACTACATCGGATGACTCGTTCATTAAACACTTGAGACCCGATGGAACTAGCAACAGCACTATTTAATCACTCTAGGGAATCTTTTTGAGAAGTTTCTCATAGGCATACATACATACATATGTTGATTTATACAAAATCAAAGATGAATATTTAAAGACAAAATTAAAAAAAGTAATTAAAAAATATTCGTAGCGTGTAATTTAATATAATATATTATACATACGGCTTATGTTATTTTCGATTTTATTTCTATATGTAATAATGTATTTGAACATAATGTAAAACCAAAAATAAATACCAAATATATCGGATTTGATTACCCAAAACCTATTGAATTAATTGTACAAAACGATTAAACATTGTCGGATTACAAATTTAAAATTTACAATTAAAACAACACAGAGGCAATGTGTTTCCATAACTACAAAGCAAATCAAACTAAAGCTAAGTATTATTAACTGCATTAAGTTTTTATAAAAAAAAAAAATGGTTAAATGACCAAGCTACGGTTTTAATTTCTCGAAGCTACACACCTATGAGTCAAATTTGAGTTCAAAGTTCTTGAAAATTGTCCACAAAGTCACCCGAAATTACGGTAATAATTAAGCGCTGCCGGCCAGTTAATTAGCCAGGCAAGTGTCAGACCTCAGTCTAATATTAATATGATGTCATACATTTTGTCATCTAACCGGAAAACAATAAACAGTTCAGACACAATAAGACAACAATATTGTCTCATGTCTCGTAATATATAGCTCAGCAGTGGTAAGATGTGCTTATTTACTTGCCCGCTTTGGAAATAGTATGTAATGGCAATAACCATAATATCTAACATATTTCATATTGTATACATTACATATTTATGTTTTTTTTTCCAACCTTTACACGGTCTGAATGAATTCGCAAACCGAATGGAGATGTTGGGATTGTCGTTTATGAGTATATGTATACACTATATATATATACACACACATTTAATTTATATTCGCGGTCCGTCTGCAAACATCCGGTTTAAACTGGACTCGGATATTAAACGTTTTTTTTGTTTTACACGTTATTATACTTTGTTTTATTGTGCGGCTTAACATCATCACATCGGTACAATAATGTATAATGCAAAATAGCGACCAGGAACTAATAATTAACTACCGCATTGTCTCCAAAAAAAAAAAAACCCCTTACCCTAGGCGATTGGGATTTCCTATAGTGCATCTTATAATATGACAATTAACAACTGTGTCCAACGGTTAAACATATTAGTAGGTACAACACAATTTGTAAACGCACGGTAAGTATAATAATATGTAAATTACAGTTCCAAAAAACACATTCCCTTTTATAGACATGTAACGCCTTTAAATGTATAAATTATTTAGGTTTCTGTATAAATAAAAAACCATTAATGCGGTAGCCGGTGTGGAATCATGACGAACATGGTCCTATCTAAAACGATACGATGACAATAATTATCGTCACATTAAGTGGCGTTGACAAGACCTAAGACGTCGCTGACGATAATTAGGCTAATGTTGGACATTTTTTGTCAATTTACAGCAATTATAAATTTAAAAAAAATTCGGCCCCAAACCGACTAGTTTATAGATCCAACTTGATTCGCACTTGAGTTCATAGCCACATGTCTTAGCATGTGCAGGTATTTAACTTGCATATGTGTCCGTTTCTTTTTCTCAACCATATTGCGGTTAATATACCTAGGTATGTTTTCCATCCTTCCAACATACACACATAATCGCTTATAGGAATTAATTATAATTTTTCCTGTACGGCACAGAAGGTCGTGTTGTGTGTGTATTAGTCAGGAGGAGGTGGTGCTTGTAGTATTATTATTTAGGTGTTTTTTTTTCTTTCTTACCTCGCTTACAACCTAACCCTACACACAACTAATTACACTTCGCTGCAGTGCACACACACACACTATCTACATTAAGATTAAAATATAATATCATATAAAACATAAGACGTTGTTGGCGCTGCCGCTTTAAAAGGCACGCCTCCGAGCAATATATCTCCTGCGGTCCAATCTGCACGATCCGGCAACGTCCGATAGAGAATTTATTAAGTAGTAAATTGTTTTTAAGAAGGAAAAAAACACCAAAATTGTTAACCGTAATGGCTTGTGAAACGTGCCGACGATTACAGGGGTTGTACGGGTTAGGTACTTACCTGGCTGGGGTGGGTGTCGCACACAACACAACCCGTTAATAATATATACAAAGATATATTTGGGTTGGTTTAAGACTTGAGCTAATCTTATACAGGTAGAGCTTGTGTAGCTCAAGCTAGCCGTGGACTGTGTCTCTGGTATTGAAGCACTATACAAATTAAAGTTGAATTTAATATTGTATTATTTGTTAAACACCGGAAGATGATTTTTGTCTGACTCGACGTTAATACAATAATCCATTTGTATATTATGGAATTTTGGCGGTTGTAAGTTTTTACTAAACTTTACTTTTATAGTGTACACACAACGTGTGATGATGTTGTATGTATAGAAAACGACCACGTGTTCATGATGTAATAATCTAGGAGCAAGGAGGTGGGGGGGAGGGGGTGCAAAGGGTCTTGAAAGATCTACGTTAAGATTTTCCGGATTACAATATATTGTTGTAATCATTGCAAGCCGCGAGGAGACCATAACTGTTATTGTTATGAGTTTTAAAAATAGTATTTCAAATATTTTAGACACTGCCATTAAAACCGCGTTGGCTGCGCGTTTATCCGACGGTGAGCAAACAGAAGGGAAAAAAACCAAAATTAAATATGTATGTACTTCCAGTGTATATTTTATAATATTATAAATATCTTATTATATTTACACTCTATAAGTAGGCGCGAACAGACCGGAATTTTACATTTTTTTTTTTTTTTTTTTTGGGAGAATAACACTAACAATGTCCGGGCCATTTGGTAATTGACGCCACCGCTGTTTTTCTCGGCAACAGTGCTGGTTAATTTCCATTTTTTAACAATCATAATTAAACACCTTAATCTATTTTTATCGTATTCCGGTGTACCCGTCTCCGAAAAAAAAATGATGTAATCAAAAAATAAATCTTTAACGGCCGTTCAATTAATTCAAAAAAGCAAATAGGCATAATAATACCAACCCTGGCTCTCATGGCTTAAATATACTTGGTGTTTGCATATCCCCACTTCGTTATATTGTCAATACACAAAAGATTAGTAGATTGTTAGATTGGAGACCAGTTTTAAGTACATTCCTCCTTGAAATCTAAAAAGGGTCTTTTCTAGTCTTAGTTAACATTTTTTTTTTCTACTGACTAATTTACCTACCAATTTGTAAACCTTTGCGATTTAGGCCGAATCGTGTGTAATGTAACAACTAGAAGAATCATTTTATACATAGCTATTGTTTTGAATTAAATAGCTTTGTACTGATTTGTCCAACCAACGCGTTTTTAGCTAGATATTAGCTTTATAAGAATTGTATAAATCACATTGTTCTTGACCAGCACCTAGTGGTGCTAACGGTTTTCTTTTCATGTTATTCTCGTTTAACCGTTTGAGAGAAGCATCTGCGACCAGTAAAATCTTACTCGACATTCTTGCAGGGTTGTTCCCGCCTCCCGTTTAAACTCATCTGGGGCTATCCGAGTATATGAAATTGCACAAAGACGAGATATAACATTATAACACCTGGTGGTGGCAGAGACCCCACGCTGGTACATACCTACTTAGAAACCACAGACAGTTTCCTTGCAATATAATAACAACACCAGGCATAACTTGGACGGCCAAAATAGCAAATCTCTGCAATCATCTAGATAAGAAATTGTGTTCAAGTAAAACCTATACCCATTCGAATGAGACACAGTTTGCACAACTCTACTCGTACCACACACATCAGCACGACGTCAACAGCCATTACGCTGTTTGGACTTTGGCCTAACCACCGTCATCCATGTCGGTCACATTTATCTATTCTTACTTATTGTTCACACACACACACACACTGAATAGGTTCCACGGGCGAGACTCCCAACGGGACACTAAACTTACTCAAGCACGGACTTTGTGGTTTCCGTCCACTACCTATTATTACTTACCTAGATATGTATAATTCGATTCTGAGGTTTTTTCGATTCAATAAATCCAATTATTGCGGTCACAAGCGTACGCGCGCCTCCGAGACGTGACCGTTTTATGATTTGTTTTTTTCCCTCAGACTTTTCTTAATAGGTACATTACAAGTAGTTGCTTTTGCGAAAAACGACCAGACCGCAGCGGTCACGTGCACCAACCAACGGGAGCTGTTCGTCCACAGCAGCAGCAGCCTTTCAATTTTGGTGTGGTGTGCGGTCAGAGTTAGCCGGTGCACAAGTACAAGGAATTTTCAACATTATTATTATTAGGTATTAACCGCCGAGAGAGATTGATGGGAAAGAAAAATAATAAAAAAAATATATAAATATATATAATACCGCAGTAATGTATTTTTTTCTTTAATCATTTTGAAACAATCATTTATTAACAAAGGAACAACAATAATATATTTAAAAACATTTAAATGAGTCAATTTAACAATTAATTTTATTCACCGACGAAAAATAAATGATCGTTGTTCAGAATAGTAAATATTTACCTTATTTACACATACACACACACACATACAACACACAGTTCCGAGTATATTATTAGAGGTATATATATATATAAATAATAATGTACAAAAAACAAGGAATTGGGTTATTTTTAATTTTTCTTTTTATACAAAAAAATTACAGTACAAAAAAAACTTACAGTATAATTTTTTGTTTTACACGATTATAATGATAATAATTGTAAGTCTAACAACAAAAAAAAAAGCACTTTCTATATCGTTTTTACATATTATTTTATTTTAGCTTTTTTTTTTAGTTTTATTAAATTTGTTTCTATAATTATTATCAATAATATGTATATATACATATATATCAATATATAATTAACGTTTAACAAAAAAATGATTATTCGTCCTATAAAGACTCGCACAAAAAAAGTCGTATAAAAAAACTACAAAATAATGACTTAGGGATTAAATAACAGGAACATATTTTTTTTTTTTTGTTCGACACATTAATATTAAATTTAATAATACTTATAAATTACGATTTAACAACAACAAAACGATCACAACGCCTTAGAGAGATCATCACCCTGGCTCTATTTGTAGTGATAATAATAATAATAATAAATATTATTATTATTATTATTATTATATATGAATAATAAGGATAGGTATACACACTGAGAGAGAGAGAGAGATATAGATAGGAGGAAAATATATTATATAATATATAGAGAGAATAATAAATAATAGTGATACGTTTTAGCATTTTCAAAAAAAAAAATAAATGAAAGAAAATTGTCGCATGTTTTCAATAGTGAAAAAAATACAAAATTGTTATGTGGCAGGGAAATAGATAATAGCTTATATATATATAAGTTCAAGTCTAATCGTTAATTATACGGCGCAATCGGCCAGTCATTTTTTTTTGTGTGAGTGTACAAATCGAGAGGGTCAAAAAAAAAACGTACCGACAGGTTCATCAAGAAGTCTACTTAAAAAAAAATGTATACATACATATAATATATATTAAACAGTCTAAACTTGCGTGGCAAAAGAGTTTTGGTCTAAAATCATCGATTTTACCGCCGCTCTTTCATACTGAAGCTGCTGGTGTATGTTGCGATGATAATGGTTTTGACAGGGCGATACCTCACTGGAAAAAAAAAACGAAAAAAAACATGCATTTAGTTTACCAGTTTTAACAACAATTAAGATGGTGGCCAAGTCACAGACAAGACAGACAGATAAAAATAAAGTCCTAACACAAACACCCATTTCGTCTAGTCATCAAACATATTATATTCTTCAATGTCTATTCTTATAATTGTAATATAATATTTGGAATGTGTAATGCTGTGAAGACCTCACACGCAACACAATAACAATAATAATAATGTTATAATTTAATATTATTATTATTTCCCTACTCCGTCACAAATAATGCCGCCGGTTCGTTTACCGAAATTCGGTGAGTAAATAAGAATAAGTACGATGATGATAATAACACATTAAGTCATAAACGCATTATTCGGTCCACGGAGCGCGTCGGCCAGTCATTGCACAACACACAGCAGCAGTGCAGCAATATAATATTATTATTAAGATGTTTAATTTCTTAATGTATTAATCACCGCACTGACATGTGTTTTGTAGTCGGGAAATCCATTTGCAATGTCATTTGGGGGCCCGAGGAGATATATGATGACGATAATTAACGGCCGTGCTTCACAAATCCCCTCCACCAATATTATCAAGTAAGCAAAAAGGCGAGGTGCAGTGTGACCAGAGTGACGAAATTACATTTATATGGTAGATATTTTTTAAAATTGATTATAAGTGTTTAACAATATTTCTTTGTACTTAAAGAGTGGTCACACGGTCGGTCGCCTTGTTGATATTACTTTGTTGCCGAGTACAACAGCAGGGCGTTATATTAGAGTTCTATAAATTATTTTTTTTACTCTGTGGTTACATAACGGCCACTTTTGTTCATTTTCAATATTTAAACTTAACTACGGTCAGGGGAATAAAGTACAAGTAATTCAAAAAGTACTCACTTGGTGCTGTTGCATTGGTTTGAGTCGACGGATATCGTGGATATCCTGCGGTCCAACGCGTTTACGGCCGCGTCCTGTTCCTTGAACGACATTCGATTTTGCCTGTCCGTGTTGAGCAGCTTCTGCCTCTGCAGCGACGTGGACGACTGGGAGGGCGTCAGCTTCGAGCCGTAGCACAACGGTTCCGAGTACACGTTCTCCTGTCGGGCGGCGGCGTGCGGCGGCAGCGGGTCCCACGAGTTGCGGATGACGTGCGGGTCGCCCAGCTTGGCCACGCTGTGTATCGAGTTCTGTTCGTTCTGCATGCGGGCGTTCTCGTCGGCCTTCTTCTGGTCGCGGCGCCGTCGGTTTTTCATGCACAGCACCACCGCGATGGCGGCCAACACGGCCACCGGCACCGACACGGACAACACGACCATGAGGACGCCGTTGACGGACGCCATCTCCGGTTCCATGGACACGTGCTTGGACAGGTCGCCGGCCGTCGGCTGCTCTTCGGTGCAGTTCGCGCCCGTATACCCTTTGGGACACTCGCACTTGAAGCCGCCGCCGGCGTCGTTGGGCACGCACGTACCGCCGTTGGCGCACGGCGCCGACACGCACTCGTTGATGTACTGGCTGCAGTCTTTGCCGCCGAACCCTGGCCGGCAAGAGCACCGGAAGTCGTTCTTGAGATTTTCGCACGCGCCGCCGTTGGCGCACGGCTTGGCGACGCAGTAGTCCACCTCGCTTTGGCACAAATCGCCCACGTAGCCGGGCACGCACTGGCAACGGTATCCGTCGGGTTGGATTTGGCAAGTGCCGCCGTTCAGGCACGGGTTTTTCTGGCAGTGGTCGGCCAACTGGCAATGGGCGCCGGTAAAGCCGGGTGCGCACTTGCACGTGTAGCTCGAGTTGTCTTTGCTGGACACGCAGGTCGCGCCGTTCTTGCACGGGTCTGGCTGGCACTGGTTGCTCGGCTGATGGCACGTGGGTCCCGAAAATCCCATCGGACAGTGGCACACGAACGTGGCCGCGTTTGCGCTGCTGTTCTTCGCGTTGACGCAAGTGCCGCCGTTGCCGCACGGCGAGCTCGAGCACGCCGGCAACGTGGACGTTTCGCATCTAACGCCTTTCCAGTTGTTTGGACAGCTGCAAGTGGACACACCGCCGCTCTTCTGGAGAAACAAAAACAAAACAAAAAAAAAATTGATTATTTAAGAGGGACACTTAAATTTTTTTTTTTTGCTACACATAAATATGATAATATAAATTTCAATATCGTTGTATAGCCTTACCTTGCATGTGCCGCCGTTCAGACAAGTCATTCCGGTCGAACAATCCTGACCCTTGGTCAGTCCCGAATTGCATTCGGGTCCGGTGAAACCCGGCGGGCACAAGCACGTGTACAGGCCCTGGCCCGTATTGAGGCACGTGCCGCCGTTCTTGCACGGCGCGTGGTTGGTACAGTAGTTGAGGTCTTGGTTGCAGAACATGCCGCCCCATCCTTCTTTGCACAGACACTGCCACGGTTTTTGGCAGTATCCGTTCACGCAACCCGGATATATCTGACACTGGTCGCACCTGGATCCCGTCCAGCCAGCGTGACATCTGCAAAAAAAAAAACGAGCAACGTTAACTTCCTGGTTAATTATTTTTTTAATCTGCTGCTGCTGTCGGTCGAGGGAGGAACGGGAAAAAAATATATTATTATTATTATATTCTGACCGAATCAAGATAAACGGCCGCGGCACGATCGTGTCGATCCATAATAATAAAATATATTATATAGGAACGGAGAAGAGCCGGTACGCGCGCGCGATTACCGGTTATATGTAGAGGCGCTGTGGGGTTAAGGTCGTCGGAATGACGGCCGTGAACCAGACGAAGACTTTTTTTTAATTATCGACTTTGGATACAGAAGAAGAGTAGAGAATAAGGAATAATAATCCGGGAGAGGCTAGCGTAGTAGAATAAATAGTAGGCATGTCTGTTAATGTAATATATATACTCACTGGCAAGTTCCTGGAGTCATACACGTTCCCCGTTTCTCATCACAGCCTGGTGCGCAGATAGCTGAAAACAAACAAATAAATACATAAATGAAAATTCGAAAAACGTTTTCAGGGTCCGAGCTTTATTCGGGCGGGTTATGTATGTGTTTTTTTTTTAATGGGGTTCTCTCGGCTATGGCGAAACCGGAACACGGCAGATGTTTGGGGATCGACAAGGGGGAGAGGAGACAAGTGGCCGTTGCAGCAGCTGCCACTCTCCAATGGGTTTTTGTTGTTATGTCAGAATACACCCTGTGGACACACGTCGTCCGATGCCATTGTGCCGACTGGCTAGGTTAGGAAAACGCTATAGTGGGTACAATAGTCGTCGTCGTCGTCGGTATAATCTTATGGTAGAGAAAATTAATAAACACAAACAGCGATGGCAGCCACAAGAACGAACGCCAAGAGGATAATTACAAAGTCCAAGACGACCATTCCGACTTAATGCGATTTTCGTGATCTCGTTTTCGAAACACACTCACACACACACACGGTTATGAATGGCGACAAATTGCACGCGGGTCTTGAAACGTAATTACCCGTTGAGTTGTGGGACCGGAGAGCTGCTGTTGTAGAAGAGAATAAAAACGACGAGGAAGATATGGGATAGGATATACGAGTATATTTTATACAAGTAGTGGAGATAAATAAAAAAAAAATACCGAAGAGGAAAAGGGAAAAAAAACAAAACCGGTAACTGGATATAATATAATATGTGTACAGAAACAATGGCGTTTAATAATCGTCGGTGGTATAAACGGTCGGTGGTGCGGTGGCGGACGACCGGGACGGGTAACCGATACCCACCGTGTAATTACATGCTATCTCGTCTGTATGATTATTGTGTCACCGGTTAAGAACTCCGGTCTCGTGTGCCGGCGGTAGCCCAGTGGTCGGCAGAGAGACTCTCGAGAGAAAAGTATACTTTCTTACGGCAAAAATGTTATAATCGCTTTTATTTATAAAAATTAATATCGATAATAACAATATTTATAATCAGACACACGGAGTTTGCATCTTTTCGCCACTGGCAAACAAGACAATGATATTACTATTATTGTTGTTGTAAACGTTCGTCGACGGGGCTACCTACCGGCGTGTGATTTATATAATTTTTTTTTTTTTTTAAGAAATATATTAGACCACGTCGTCCGTCTATGTTGCGTCGGCGTGAGTCATATATACGTACACGAATCGAGGGGAAGACATACCGTCTTACGGAAGACGTGTACGGTACTTGTATAATATAATATTATATTTGTGTATAAGTATAAAACAAAAGGAGATAGTGATCGAGCGCGCAACACACGAGGTAGGTAGGTATGTGTGCCGCCGTCGCGCGAATGCCGAACGCCGTTTTGGGAACCACTGCGCGCATAACAACCTGACAGGCACACACACACACACACCGGCGAGAGAGAAGCCCACAGCTATGGAACGAACGTTACCGTGGGAACCTGGAGGACTACCGGAGCGGCGGCGGCGGCGGCAGCGTGTCCGAGAGACGGAACCACTGCCCGCGTGCACAAAAGGACTGTGGCAAGGCGACGGAAGGTTGACCGGCGGCCCGTCGAACGCACAACGAGAGAACTACCTATAATAATAATAATCATACTACTACCGCGGCCGCTGGTCGTGGCCCAACACCAACCAATAAATTATTATTATATTATACATATAAAACGCGTCGAGTCGCGCGGTTAATTTTTTTACACCATTTTCCTACTTCTCTACTTATATTTTATCACACAATAATATGACAATGTTTTAATAAACAGTATAACTAGGGTCTGCTGTCTTACCTTTACTGCAATAGCTGCCGGTCCATCCGGGCATGCATATCATGTCGCCGTCGTCCGAGCACAGGTAATGTCCGAAATTGTCGTCCCTGGGTCGGCAGAATTTGGCGCACCCGTCCCCGTGGTAATTGTCCTCGCACCGGACCCTGTGTTCGTACACCAGCCGGGACCGGACACCCCCGGTCGACCCGGCGTACTCCTGTTTCACCCATCCGTCGCTGAGCTTCAGAAACCGCTGGTCCGTGATGCGAGTGATCAGCTCCGAACCGTTGGTCGTTCCTGGATGAGATAAATTAAGAAAGCAAAAAAAAAAAAATTAGTCGATGAAAAAAAAAAATACAAATTTCTTTTAAAAACAATGTACGCGAGTAGTATTATTCAGCACTACCAATATATATATATATATATATATATATGTTAACAGGCGCCGCCGCCGCCGGACGACGCGGCAGACACGTCGGCAGAGGCACCGTGGGAGAATAAGACGGTCACCCGCCGCCCGACAATTGGTCACACACACACACCATCTGAATGCTACGTGCCTACCGTTTTTCCTTAGGAGCCGTTTCTAACGTCCGAATAAAATGGAATAATAATACCGAAGGGAGAAAAAAAAGAGTGCATTATGTGTATCTGGTGTATTATAATAACTCTCGACGACAACAATAAAAAATAATATACAGAGAAAAATTCGAGAACAACGAATGGGAGAGACACCGGGGGCCAATACCGATAATGTCGCGAGCATCGGCCATAAACCGCATCATATTGTAATAGTCCCCGTACGGTTATAATAATAATCATAATAATAATAATACTGTGTCTTGACGAAGGAGTACTACAAAACCGTACACAACACACGCTGGAATAGACCTAAAAAAACTTATTTTCGACTTGCCTCGCGTGTGTTTCCGGCTCTGGAATTCCTATTATTTTCACCAAATACAATTTTTTCCTTATCCAGAGACGTGACAAGATTATTTCGGGATTACACGTCGCCGCCGCCGCCGCTTGTATATTTTTAATAATAATAGGGATGTGCGATGCCACTTCCTATCGCCATCATCCCGTGTGCCGCCTTGAGCGCGTTTGGCTCGGTATCAAAAGAAAAAAAAGGTCTATTATAAAATTCAAACGAAGGGACGACGGATCGGCGTGAACAACAAGAAAAAGAAGAAGAAGAAAAGAATTCCCCGTCGACGACGACGTCTGGTCCGGATTTTATTCAATACAAAAGCGTTGAAATTTATGCGCTTCGCGATTACACACAACACAGAAACGCACATTTTTTCTTCTTCTTCGACCACAAATCACACAAAAGAGCATACGCGCGCCCAGCCGTAGTAGCACACCAAGTATAGAGAGTGGTACGCAAGATGAATTTTAAGATTATTGTGTGTGTGCACCCTTTTAATTTTGTCTGCTCACGAGACGACCGTCGAAAAAACAAAAATTTATCTTGGGAGAATATATTTTTGTTCTGTTACACCAAGGTGCAACGCCGCCGTATCAGCTTTATTATTTACTAGTGGAACAGAGGCAATGCCCCCGGTCGTATCAGCTCATGGGTGAGAATTATTATTTGTGTATGTATCACCTTATAGTATAATATACACTTCACCGACACGCCGTCAAACGGCAAACAAGAGATAAACCGAAGAAACAGTGTGCCTATTATTACTATCGGTGTGTGTGTGCAGTTGTCGATGATACACAAATATTAGTTTTTAGATATATTATATTATATCATTACACCTATACAAACCGAGCGTTATCATCAGTCGGGAGACAAGGGCGGCGACAAAACAATAATCGCGTGTCGGCAAACAAAGAAAGTGTTTTTTTTTTGTAAGAATTTAAAACTAGCATCTTACACCGCGCCGCCACGTGTTATTTTAATATTGCCAGTTGCAACGGACAACATCATTTTCTTGGGGACAAAACTGTGTAATAATTTGACTCAAGACTAAAATCAGAAACCTAACTTGAGCTAAGCCTTAACGGTCAAGCGGATTTAGCAGCCTTTGTTGCGATTCCTACCAAACCAGAAGTAGATTGGACCGTGGGAAAGAAAACGGATACTGCGTGGCCGTCCGTCGCTTTACTACAGCCGAAGAAACAGGTGTTTTATTTGTGACTCTTGAACGAGAGAAGGGTATAATACTTGTGTGTGAATATAATATATATATATATATATATATATACATACATAACTGGCGAGTAGAGTATGACATGCATATATAAGTATACATCAAGGCGGAGGGACACGTACGACGAGGGCGCCCGTTACCCGTATAGGGTTTCTGGGACACAAAACAGCCGGATGACGACCCTACTGACTCAGACACACAATAATTTTTACCCAGATACACTTTTTTTTTTTGGGGGGGGGGACCTTTTTACCTAAATACCTATATTTAATGGTGCGTGTATACAGTGTGAGTAGTGGTAATTCATCAAAGTATTATATTGTATTTTAAACAATTGAAAAATTATAAATACAATATATAGGGTACTAACTATATATGATCTTACCTGAATTTCTAGCCGACGACGGTTCGTGCCAAGCTTCGACTATTAGCGAAAATGTACCCTGAAAAAAAAAAACAAAACAGAAATCGTTAAAAAACTTGTTTTTGTTAAACCTGTTAATCGAAATACCAATATTGGTAAATAGTTTTACATTAACTAAAATGCATGATTTTGTTGTTTTTGTAACGCACACAACTAGTGCGTTTGGATTATCTCTATAGTATAACAAAACGGGTGTTAAACATAATATTATAATATAATACGATGCCGGGCGCGCTATTTGAAGAAGAAGCGTCGAATAATTATTATGACCACTAGACACATTGTATAATGATCATCTTAGGTTTGTGTCGGAACAATAAAACATAATAATAATAACGAAACCACCTATCCTTTCTCACATTGACAAGCTGAGCGGCAGCAACACACAGCAACGGCAGTCAGTCAGGTAAAATAATAATATATATCCTCTCTTCTCTTCTCTGTTAATAATAATAATCCCAATAATGAAAAGATCGATTAATTCTTTTTTTTATTCCTCTTCTCCTGTACAAAACACACGCCCATCATGCTGGGGCCGCAATTATTTTAACAATCGGGTACTACCACGGGCTTTAATTGCCACTCGTGTGACAGGTATAATCCCGAAATGCTCGTGGACCAATTAAAAAAAAAAAAAAAAGGATTCCGACAGGACGAGGGCCCAGGGAAATCACACAGACTCCTCTTTGTATTAAAATATATGTCAGTATTTTCTATGTGGGGAGGGGAGGAGGTTTAACGACTTTAGACGCACTGCGGTATAATATAGTCTAGTATATATTCGATACACACAACAGAAGGCGCAGAAGAGCTGTACACATATACATAAATTATATTATGACCACTTGGAAAATGTGTGCCATACGGAGAGGAGAAAATCCGATCATTGATACACAACAGTATATCATATTATAGTGAACATAGCCAAAGCTTGTCGATCACAAACACCCTATTTTTTCCTCCTTCCTTCTGTTGTTCGCCACCGCAGCAGGCCTCCCAAAGGAAATCGGTCACCGCCTGAACCGCATTAATAAACCGCACACTATTTCCCTTGTGGCGTGACTCATCCTCCGCCCCAAAGCTTTTAAGCTCTGTCTCTTGTGTACCTACGTTTAACCGGTACAGTGGTTATTATTATTATTTTTAGATAGATAGATACCCCTATTAACGATTAACGGGGCGTTTTTATACACCGTGCAAGGATGAGGAAATGCGACTAATTTCCAAGTGCACGACGATATTAAACCAGTTTCGATCAATAGTGCGTGATGCGATCTAATTAAAACCCCGTACTCTCAATTAGAGAATGGTAAGGTGGATAAAAAATAAAAAACCGCAGCGATGCGAGTAAAATTATTAAGTATTCAATAAACTGGTATGTTTACGACGTCGACCAAGTACACGAAAGGTCGTCGCCGTTCCCGGGCCGGTGTTTGCCGATCAGACCTAAGAAAAATACAGATACACATGATAATATACGGGCACGGACAGAGAACAAGAGGGAAAAAATCTCCCATAATTTCTACCTCTCTTGACAGGTTTTCGTCGTACACTCCTGCCGGCGGGTATCGTTGGACGGGCTGTATTTTTGCCGGCATGATATGCTTCTACTATTAAATAAAGGGTATCTTCCCCGGTGACAATAATTCTTCTTTTTTTTAATCCAAGGTTAAGGTCGTGCCGCGACCCTAACTGTAAAACTGACTTGGGCGACAGACATCGGGCGCACCGGGCAGATTCATTGTCTCGGCCATTACCCCGTACCTATCTATCTATCTATATTACTCGTGTAGTAGTAGGTACCTACTATAAGGGTAGGCGTGCGCTGACAAAAGAAGGGAAAAAAGGCTTCTGAAAAAACGCACCCATAAACCAAATGGTGGACGGTAATCCGGCGTGAACCGAACACGGAAGGTCACACAACCCTTTTGCCGTTTAATCTTACCTCCGGTTTCCTGGAGCGCGAGGAAGCTACGCCACAGGTATGCACCGGAGGCCAGCCAGTATACCTTAAGTATTATTTTTTTGATATTATGTCTTACCGGCCATGTGAAATTGAAATGGAACGCTATCGGTGTGGCGTTGGCCGGTAGCGTGAGGCTGTTCTCGCCGAGCACTGGAGTGACGACGTCGCCGAAAGTGCACGTGGAGTTGATGTTTATGTTGGTCTCGTAGTGCTTTAAGCAAGCCCGGAACTTGGTCCGGCAAGGCGTGGTTCCGCAAACTCCACCGCAACACGCCCCCGAAGCTTCTCGACCCAACTCGTTGCTGAACGATTTTATCCTCAGTTCGAAAACGCCATTACCACTGACCTATAAACAACAACAAACGGTTAGTGATCGAAAATCAAAATACAATTTTTCTCATTTATGCACAAAATTCAGTGTTATCGCGTTAGTGAAATAAATGTCACCCTTTGTACCCCCCACACACCGCGTGGGCTATAAGCGGCGCACAAGTCATACGATAGCATAAGGTGTAATCTATACCCACAGAATAGATAAAAGCAAAAGGGTCACCTTCGAGTGTAAACAAAAAAGTAATGATGACCATTTTGTAAAGACCTATTTAGTATTATGTGTTATATCTATACACAACTGAAAATAATGATGTATTGATACAACTGCATTATAGTGGTGTCGCCTTAAGAAGATGGCTGCCGTGTTTTTGTGTGATAAGTATCTTTCCAGTTTAATTTTTTACCAGTGTCCCGGGGCCTAAATCCGGCGTATAGTAACATTAAAATATGTCAACCCAAGTAGTGCCACCACAATTATTTGCAAGTTGGTTATATTTAATGTGGCTATTCTTAAAAACCAAAAAAAATAGGTACTTGTCGAACCAATTTTTTCGACGGAACGGCTCCCCTATACTACTCTATGGTCGTTAGCGGCCCCTTCCACACTTTTTAAGGCGGTGTGCGATATAACAACTTGGACGGCAGTCGCCGAGTCATTGGCGTTGACGTTGACATAAAGGTCTGTTCAAAGGACGTGCCAAAACAATGGGTGAAAGCCACTACCTAAATAGGAATGTCTCTCTCTCTCTCATTCTCACACACAGGTCATTATAACGATGACAAGGGATAAACGCAGACGGTAAGACCGCCGTCGCTCATAATGTCTTCATTTTTTTTGTATTATTTCCTTCACACTATTTATAGATGATTATTTTTTTTTTTTGTTACTCGTTCGATATAAAATAGCAGAGTTAAACGAGCGGGTAAAAAACGATTTTTCCTTATTTTTTTCTTTTTCCCACCTCATAAACCCATAATCGTTTTGTCGGCCGACGAAACCACAGCTATTGCCAAGTGTAGGTACAAGAAGTAGGTACAGACGTAACTAGACAAGTAGGTAAGACTTTTACTCTATACTATTTTGAGTCGGTTAGAGAGCCTTCGTAAAGGATGCAGTATCGACACGACCGATAGAGGATATACGTCACAGAAATATATTAAGTGTCTCAAGAAAATACACGTTAAGTATAAAATAAGTTCGGGGACGCGAGCGATTTTTCCGCATAGATATACAAGTATTACGTGATTAGTCGGCTGAAACTTGTATGTCTTGATAAATGTAGTCACCGGTAGTCGTGTGAATGTATGTGTGACAAGGTCTGAGATGTATGCCGACAAAAAAACTGACTCATTCGCGACATTTTAATTTCAGGTTCTTATATATATATAACGCGGGTGCTCGAAGAAGGCGTGTGAACCGCGCTTTTTCCAACGGGGCTTTACAATAATTTATTGGCGATTATTATTATGATTATTATTTATTATAAACCAGTCATAATTTCAAAGCTAGCGGACGGACATTTAACCGGTAATTAACACACAGCGCAACACAAATCTAGTGCCAATGCGCTCCTTGTTTTACGACTCGATCAAACTAGTCAACTAGACACACACACATACAACAAGCGTTTACACGGGTTTTTATAATGGTTCATTAATTAATATGTTCAATGCGTTAAGAATAAAAAAAACAAGGGCCACAACACCGGAGTTAACGGGCGAATAAGAAAAAAATATTATTATTTATTACTTTTGAATACGAGTAATTGCCGTTTAGATTTTTTTCACACTTACTCATTCCCCATACGCTACCATTATATATATATAAAAAAAAATGGCCTACATAACCGCTTGTCCGAGTCGTTATTTCGGATTATAACGTTTTCAAACGTCGTTACAATTTACAATTTTTACAATTATCATCGGACCTACTGTTTTATTATCATTATTATTATTATTATACATTTTGTATTTGTTCACCTCATCTGACAGCCAAGAGTCTCGGTCGAAATTCTATATGATGACACATCTTATTCTCTACACACGACATGACATAGGTTAAAGACGAGTTACCGCTGCATTTTATAAAAGTCATTCATTTTATAGAAAAAAAAAAGAAAAAAAACAATAATAACCAATGACTCGACACGTTTAAAGTTACTTTTTCTTAATAAAGTTAGGTAACGCGCGGCGGCGGCGGCAGGCATTGTTACGACCGCCAGTGTTTTGTAAATACATAAACCGAAATTTACCATTTTTCGTTTTTGCAATAAGTATACACACACGATTTTTTCAAAAAAAAAAATTATTTACAACAATAACGTCTAGAAAGAATGGATATACGAACAAATAAAATAAAAAAATCGCTCAATGGTCGGCCGTCGTACACAAAACCAATGATAATAATAATAATTCATCTGAGAAGTCGAATGAAGAATGACAGCTGCCCCTTCTCCCTCTTGTCCACCGCCCCCCACATCCCGTTTAGGAGATTCCCCGCCGGTCTATAGCTCACCCGAAATATGAAGATGCACATTTTTCTTAGCCGACACCGCGATAGGATATATTATGAGATAGCGTAGCATAATATATTTTTAATGCGAACCAAGTTTCCAACATGAATATCCGCCCCTATCTGTGTTTATAAGTTTTATTTTTTTGTTGATAACACGGTCACGTGTCACGGACAAATCCCGGAGTAGCTCTACCGGTCGATTTTACCGTTTATTATTACACATTTTATTGGTGTTGATGAACTATAACAATTATTTTTATTATCGACTATTTACAACTCCGACCAGCGGGTAATCTATCGTCGATTATTTAAAATATATAGGTCTCCTAGCTGGGTTATAATATATTTTGTATTATCGCTTTTGCGCGTTATTTATAAATAAAATCGGTCGACCTGAGGAATATTATATTAATACACACACACACACACACAACTTTTACACGTTGTTTTATAAATATCTAAACCGGCGTGGTTCGTTATCACACGCACGCAAATACCGCGGTTGTGTAAACAATCGATTGAGAAAAAAAAAAGACAAATTAACCACAAAAAAAAAATAATAATAAAACCATCTATCGACGGTCATCGATGACTTGGTTGGTCATCGAACACGGAATCTATCTCGTTTGGTGGATGCTGGGGGAGGGGGCAGCGGGCGTTTAAAGCCAAAATCCATATTGATAATACATATATATAAATTAATAGACCTGGTGTTAAATATTAATCGGTTATGATACGACATTGTGCGTGTGTGTAGAGCAGAAGGAGATATAAATAAACAAGACAGGAAGATGTGTGCGCGTGCGGTTTATGTGGGGAATCGCCGCCGCCATATATATGTCAGCGGACCGTATTATTATTATTATTATTATAAAAAAACCGGGTTATGGCTTTTTGTTGTGTACAGTATACTACGTTGACGATGAGCAGCAGGGATTTTGTATTTTTTCATATTAAGAGATGCGCTTATTCGGGCGGCCGCAATCAAACAGCTGATGGAAATATTATAAACGATTAACCCGCCGCCGCGGACGATGGTCCGTGTGGAACTTTTATATATATAATAATTATATCTTTATCTACTATCTCTACACTAAATAATATTATAACAATAATAACCCGGCGGCGTTTTCCGCGGCCCCCGGCCAGATTGCTCGTTTCTTGTATTATTATTGCTATAACTTTTTACAACAGCCCTTTTTAAGGTTAAACAATCATCATCACATAGTGATAGTGTGTGTACTTACGTTTGATACGATGAATGCAATTATGGAAACGGCGACGATACACAAAAACCGGCACCGCATGGTCGCACCGAAAATAAACGCAACACACTCGCGATAAGGAAGAGCGCACGAAATTTATTTCGGCTATATATACATATACATACAAAATATATGTATATATATATTCACTAGCGGCGGTTAGGTTGTATAAATATACATAAGTATCACACGAACGATTTTAGACGGTTTTCGTGTAGTAGTCCAGATCGCCGGCAGTTTGTCGTTCGCACATCGCACTCGAATAAAAAAAAAAATAAATAATATATATTATAATAATACACGTATGAATAAATTAATATTATTATATATATTTATAAAAAAAACCACTACAATCGTGCACTTTTTTTTCCAAATTTTTCGCTTCCAATAACTACACTGCGCGGTGGCGGTCGCGACGGACTGCGGCGGCTACTGCGGCGTGATGTCGTCGGCGGTGGTGATGATAATCGAAAAATAATAATAATAAATACATGTGACACGACGACGGCGTATGTGTTGGTATAAAAAGTGGAATGATGAGAAAAAAAAAAGTCCAAAGAAAACTTCACACTGCGTTCGGTGTGGATTGGGGGAAAAAAAAATTCACATATATATAATAACACAAAACACACACACACACGTTAATAATAATTTATAATAATAAATAATAATACACAACTAGTACTAACAAACGTTAGACGCGTAATCGCGGTGAACAGGGCGCAGAGGGAAAACGCTCTGTCGGACGGTCGTAGATCAACGACTGGTGGCGGACTGACGTGGTGACGATACCCCGACCCGGAGGATACGTTCTTGCCCGGTGTGCCGTGCGGTGTGTGTTTCCAGCGTGCCGCCGCCAGGTGTCGGCACCGTACGCCCATCTCCGTCCATCCCCGCCGGCGACGGCCGGCCGGCACCAGGTGATACGCGTCGCCCCGTCGTCCGGTAGTCGCAGCAGCAGCCCCTTCGCTCTCCCTCCCCGTCCGCCCTTACCTCCCCCTTCCCTGCTACACGTGGGTCACCGACGACGGGTTGTACCTACTTATAGTATTTTTTTAACGCGCATCACAATTTTTTTTATTTTCGACAAGGGGGAAATCCGCGGACGACCAATTTATCAATTGTATAATACCATATACGATTCGGAATGTTATCATACCTACTGTTATTATTATTATTGAAAATACTGAAACGCTCCGCGTCCAACTCCGAAAGGGGGTCCAGAAGGTACCCTCACCCCTCTTCGCACCATCACTCTTTACCGTCATCCCTAAAGTAGTAATAATAGCAATAGATAGATAATCCTTTGTAGCCCCCCCCCCCCCAGTAATGAGAAATAATATTTATACGACGGGCGCCTATATTATAATATGTACAACGGACAATAGGACCTAACAACATTTTTTACACATCAATGACGAATGTGCAGTAACGCCAGGGGTAGAAGTATTTAAAATTCAAAGTAGACTGATAACATGGATATACCAACTTGCGTTCGACAGACATACAAGGCTGAATTAGAGCGGGCAAACGCTTTAAAATGGGCGGCAAATATAAGTCAAGTCCTTCATCCCCAAAAACCGAAAAAAACATTTTGTCGGGTTTTCCACTTCCGACTTCTCAAAAAAACGATCAAATCGTGTGGACACAAGGGTGCCCAAGGGGAGGGACAGTAGGGGACAACTCCCCCTTAGCTCCTCTGCAAATTTAAAAAAATGTAAATTCAATATCCTAAATTTGTAAACATTGTGGACATTTGCATGGACAATTTATTAGTAAGCATATTTGGGTATAAAAATTTGAAGTTTAGTATATATTGTTAGCCATATTGAAATATATTATATAAATTTGACTTACATACATTGATGAATGTACCTATAAATATCGCTGAAAAATAGCAGACATTTTACATTTTTATAGCAATGTATTGTTTTTCGATAAAAAAAATGATATTTAAATTATGTTGAAATTTGAAAGGGTAATTTATTAGGCGCCGACCTTAACAAGGCTCTAGATGCACGTTTATAATTGAGGATCCCAAGTAAAAAAATGCCCAAGAATTAATTCTAGTTCGTATAATATAATATAGATAAATTATAGCCTATAGGACCCATGTTGTGACTGATAGACGGTTTAAAAATAAATTATTTTGGCCATGGCGAGAGAATTCCAAAAATCTATTGAATTTAATCCAAACAAAATTTAAAAAGTAGAAACATGACTACAAGACCGTTTGCACGGATAAAAAATATTAATTTACAGACTTGCTTACGTCTAGTGACCACCATGTACATGTTTGTATGTCTACAGAGTAACCGTATGGCTTCAATGTAGAGGTTCTTCGGGTGCGGTGGATATGATAATATTATGCTAGATTTCAAAAAGTCTTAATAAATGACGTGCCTGTGGTTTGGGCTACGAATTTGTTTTAACTATATTACTTATTATTATTTTATTATCTCGCATATATCGGTAATAATTATTATTATTGTTTAATTATTTGTTTTAAAAAGCGGCGTTCGTGTGTTTGATCTGCTAAATTAAAAGGAGACCGACGGGATGTCTGAATGTTATTATTGCTGCTGCTAACTACTTAAACCCGTGTGGTGAGTGTTATGAGAGAAAAACCTATTTAAGTTATAAATGATGGTGCAAGGCTTGAGAAACCCGTCGCTGTAAAATATCTTGTTTTTTTTTATATTTTCAAAATGCGCTTAACGCAGAGCAATTATATTTGGGCATGTGTCAATTGCATATTATATGAATTTAAACGAGATTCGAGAGTATATAGCAAACCTATAAACACGGCTTAAATCTATCGGAAACACAAAATCCTTGGTAGTGTAGCTACTTGGAACTACTTACAAGTGTAATATTTTCCCAGGTAACGACATGAATATTTATTAACCGACTTGGGTCATAGTTTCCAACAACATGTTCTAGAAATTGGCGTATGTGAGTCAGTTACCTATACTAATTTTATATAAATTAGTATTACCAGTAATATAAATTACTTGTTTTGATTTAACTAACGCGGTTGTTGGATAATAACAATAACAATAATAATTATACGAATTAGGTAATTTTCAACATAAAGTCCTACAAATGCGGCTAAAAAAAACACAAAACACTAACAAAATTCAATTAAAAAATTGGTATAATGAAAATTTGGCGCTATTGACGTACAAGGGCACACCATATGAACATTACTTATCAATTTTAACTTGATCCGACCATTTTTCTTAGAATAATTAGCAAATAAAAGATGATAATTAAAAAACTGTTTTTCCCGATTTTAAAGATGAAGGAAGAGACTTTTTCAACTTTCGACCCAACAATGTACCAACCGCATATGATTTCGGATCTACAGAGGTGCTATTCAAGTAAATCGGTCCAAAAGAAAAGAAGTTATCGTAACTTTCGTCAAAAAAAATAATCACTGTAACACCAATACATTTCTTGTTCCGCATTAAAGCTAAAATTCCTCTCATTAACATTGTAAAATGACGTTTAATCTAAATAATTAAAAAGACATTCATACATCCGGCGTGCTTATAATTAAATAGTATCTGTAAGTTTTAATTAAAAAATTATACAGATTAGCTTCGCGAATTATCCGTTATAATTTGAATTAATTATATTAAAAAATAAACTAGTTTTTTGAAAGCATTGAGATTTGAAAACTAAAGCGTAGATAATTTTCAATGATGAACTTAATTTTTTCTGAAAATCAAAATGAAATATACGTTTTGTTATTGTCTAACCTAACTCAGCTGTCTATTGTCTAACCCTTATCGAGGGTTTCATGTTTTTTTTAAGGGGATTTTGTGTGAGATCAGTTGATCAGAAATGAAACCCTAAAGAAACACACGGAAGAGGCACAAAGCGCGGTATAAGATAAGTGCGAGGTCGAGTTAGGTTAGCTTAGGTAAATACCTATACTAGTAAGTACTAATATGTATACCAAACGTAGCTATGGAAAACGGACGGTTGGCCCAACAAACACTTAAAATTAGGCACTATGTATATGCTTAGTGTATTGTGTACTATTATATGTAGCTAAACTGAACTCCGCAGAGGTGGCGGCCAAACAGTTTGGACTTCCGGAGCAGTAGCTGCTTTAAAAACATGGGCACGAGTTTTACTTAGGTACTTATTCTTAGTGCTACGCCTATGAGAATGTTTTCTCTAATTAATCTTCACTAATTCGCATGATTTATACAAAAGCGCAACGGTGTATTATTATTATATGTATTTTCCTTGTTGTGCGTGTAGAGAATAGTAGGTTAAAATACCGTCATGAAGATTGTGTTTTTTTTTTCGGTGCACATTGACACCATTGGAGGAGATCAAAGGGGGGGACTTGGGATTCTAAAAACCTTAAAACTTAAAATTAGCGCTAAATGTTGGTATTTTGAATAGCACTAATATTAATTTTTAAGGTTTTTTACTATCCCATGCCCCCCCCCCTGATCTCCGCCTATGCGCAATTGTGCTTATGTGCTAACTTAATATTGCTTACACTTACTACGGTGCCTGTGTATCAGAGTGGCGTTTAACCGGAGGGCAATAATTGCTCTGGGTGACAAATTTTATGGTGTTTGGAGGGGAAGAGGGCAATTTTTTGGGAACCAACATAGGAAAAAAAAATAAAGTATATGAAAGAATTAAAAAAAAAATCTGTATTCTAGGAATTCAAATTAATATAATAATATACCAATTTATATTTCAAACTTGTATAAATATGTACTACTAATATTAAATAACAATTTATCTTACATGAATAAAAACCTCATAAGTGTACTGTATGAATTAAGCAAAATGATTTTGGGACTTTTAAACTTTAGTAAGTACCTACTAATAGTTGTAACAACTCTCTTTTAATTATTAAATCATTTGTATTAATGAAGCATGATAATTAATGTTTGCCTTTAAATTGAATGGTATATAATTTCGCCCCACATATTTATTGGAGTCGATTGTTCAAAAAAAAATACATACATTTATAATCGCGTATAAATTAAAAAAAAAACAATTTTTAGGGGCGCCAAATTTCTTTTGCAATATAGTTTTTAATGCGGCACTGCTGCGCTGGGTTTTGGCGAAACAAAACGCCTTTTCAACGGCTCCGGCATAATGGCCAAAACGTTTAATAAATCACACGTGCTTAAAGCCAAAAATGGGATTTATAAATTCTATATAACGCAATAATAATAATATTACATGACGTACAGTGTGGGTAATATACGTTCGGCTCGCCCCGGTTATTGTATGCGTGTCCAGTGAAAATGCAACAGCCTATGCATTATTATTTCTACTGGGTGTTGTAACGGTTTTTGGCTCTGAACCCCCCTCGTTAATGCGTACACACACACACAAACATATATACATAATAATACTAAAGCCAGAGGGGTTCCGAGTGAGCGCCCCTGCCTGTATATTTCCATACATCATTTTTTTTTATATTCCACCCGTTGATGATAGAATATGTATTTCGTTAACTCGTCGTCATGCACAACAGTAACAACGACGAAAAAAGCATCGTACAAGTATTATGTCTGATTAGAAATAGATAATGTCATTTTTTTTTTTTTAGCTTTGGAGCCTGAAAAAAACCTGGAGATGGATATGGATATTATATATGTTTATAACGTTATAACAGTCTAATTATTATAACATAATATTTGAAGGGCCGACTGGATGAAGGTGTTAACTGACAATTTCAAAACTGTTCAGGAGGCAACATTTTGTGTATAACATGTCGATGTATGCATATACAAATGCTTG